AAATGAGCAGTCCTCTGGAAAAAGCTTTTCAGCGGGTGCAAGACTGTCCTCCCTTGTGTGCCATCAAAAACAAAGACCAAAAAAACCCAGGTCAATAAAATTCTATTCAAGTCACACCAAAAGCATCCTTCTTTATTCTTGTGTTCAACTTTCCTACACTCAAGAGATTCTCGCTGACTCTGGTTAAAATGCCAACATTCTGCAGGGAGTCCCAAGCAAAACAATTCTGATTATGCAAACGCCATTAAGTCTAACCCATCCATCTGTGGATACCCAGGAACGCTACCATTAAGGTTCAGACGCAGCTTGAAAAAGTAAATGTACTGGCTGGAGGATTCGGGGAGTTATAATAACTTTTTCAAGCTGCCAAAGATAGGATTTGAAGGTTCTTGTAGATTATTCGGGCTGTTTGGCCGTGTTCTTGAGGTTTTTTCTTCCTCACGTTTCGCCAGTCTCTGTGGCCGGCATCTTCAGAGGACAGGAGTCAGAACTCTGTCCATGCTCTGTTGCTGTTTGTGGGATAGTTATTTATAGCTGTGGGATCAGCTTAAATACTCAACTCTCCCACAAACTGCACCAACGTTAGGAAGAAAAACCTTAAGAACATGGCCAAACATCCTGAACAACTTACAACAATCATCGGATCCCGGCTGTGAAAGCCGTCAAGAATACATGGGGTTTGAACTCAGAACATTCTAGTCGACACCAGAACTGAAATAACATCTTGTAAGTTTACTTCCCAGTTGTTCGTGGATTCACAAAACGAACTTATCACATGGCAAATGTTTGCAAGACTCTTCAAGATCCTGCAGTTGGAGGAATGGAATTTGTGAGCAAGGGCTGAGGAAGTAGCTGAAAGGGCAGGAGGAGGTGGACTCAGTCAGCTTGGGAACAACCCACACTGTGCCTGAACAAGATGCTCAGACTGAGAAAACCTAAAAGTCAAGGGGCTTTGGGGGCCCCTGTCCTCCACCAGGTCTCTCATAGCAGTTGCCCTCACTGACCTCAGCTTGCTGGCTTCTTCCACCTCCTCAGCTAATCTCCCAGTCAGGAGCAAGAGCCTGGACTTCTCTGCTCCACCCTTTTGTCTGATTGGCGGATAAGCCAAGAGGGCGGGGCCAGAGAAGCCTGAGCTGCTGCCGGGACTGGAAGATCAGTTGAGATGATGCTGGAAGAGAGCATGCTGGGCCTGGTGAGGGGCTGATTGAGTCAGAAGAGAAGCAGCAGCAGCTGTGTGGCCCCCTTTACAAACAAGGACGAACTGGGACGAACCGGTTCATGCCCAAGAAACAGCACCTGTGTGGCCCCCTTTACAAAGAAGGATGAACTGGGACGAACCGGTTCGTGCCCATCTCTAATCTGTACCTGGAGACTCAGAGATACATACTAATGGTTTGAGACTTAGGCTGTACATGAAGACTCAAAGATACATACTAATGGTTTGAGACTTAGGCTGGTGTCCTGAGACCTGCTGAGAGGCAACCCTACTCCCTTGCAGACTTTCCCCAGCCACAGGGGAAGGTGGAAAGAATTATTGGGACGAGGCAGCCTGAGGAGGGGGCTCATTGGCTCAATATTCTCTTTCAAGCATGGCCTGGATGGATTAATCCGTCACACGGGATCATGTCCGCAACAACACCTCAGTGGTGGAATGTCCTGCCTTCTCCAAAGCAGGGATCATCAACCCCCGGTCTGTGGCCCAGTGCCGGTCTGTGGGCTTGCCGGAACTGGGCCACGGATATGGATCTCCACCAGCCCCCCACACCAGGAGTGGGCAATTAATTTCTATAGGGGGCCACATGAAAAATCTGAACTGTGTTCGGGGGCCAAACCAACTTTACTTAAAAATAGGGCCCCATTAGTTGGGTAGTAATAGGCCCCCAATTTGTGGGTAGTAATAAGCCCCATTGGGTGAGGCCCTGCAGTGAACAAACTACAAGGCTGACATAGTGAATTCCATAAACTTTTTAAGGACTGGAGCGACGACTGGTGGGCCGGACAGGAGCGGCTTGCGGGCCATATGTGGCCCATGGGCCGCACTTTGTCCAGGTCTGCCCCACACCCTCATGCAGGGGGCATGTTATGCTCGCAGTGGGTGTATCACGCTTGCAGTGGATGTGACATGCAAGCGGTGGCATGTCGCGCTCACATGCATGCGTGAGAGCACAACACATACACAGGCACAACATGCCCACCGCATGAGCATGGGGGTGCCTCCAACCCCCCTCCCCCCCCCGCTCATGGACCAGTCTGTCTTGGGCTTGAGCAAATGCTTGAACACTGGATTAGAGCGACGACTGGTGGGCCGGACAGGAGCGGCTCGCAGGCCATATGTGGCCCACGGGCCGCACTTTGTCCAGGTCTGCCCCACACCCTCATGCAGGGGGCGTGTTATGCTCGCAGTGGGTGTATCACGCTTGCAGTGGGCATGACATGCAGGCGGTGGCATGCTGCGCTCACATGCATGCGTGAAAGCACAACACACACACACAGGCACAACATGCCCACTGCATGAGCATGGGGGTGACTCCAACCCCCCCGCTCATGGAGCTCACTCCCCCCAGCCGGTCCGCAGCCCCAAAAAGGTTGGAGATCACTGCTCCAAAGGATGTCAGCTTCTCTCTGTCCAGCTTCAGATAGCATCCTGTTGTACCTTGGAGCGGCTTTTAAATTGGTTTTTAATCTATTTTAAAAAGAATGTTTCAAAACACACATTGTAGTGCAAGTTGCTTACAAGAGCCCGGGAAGGCAGAACAGCAATGGACGAATATTTAAAAGCAGGTCTGAGGAAGTGGATTTGTCCATGAAAGTATATAGCAGTTCATCTTTAAGGTGGCGCAATGTTTTTGTCTTCTTTTTATTTTTACTTTCATTTTTGCCTGACATGTTAAAAACCTGTTTTATAAAATGGTTGGGAGTTTCCCCAGAGGCCATAGCTGGCTTGCTGGAAAATCTCAAATTCTGAGCAGGCTCATGGATGAAGAGGGTGGCCTTTCAGATAGTTTTCGCCCATCCTGTTCTGGGCTTTGTAGTTCAACACTGGCCCCTTGAAATGGCTAGGCTGTTTGTCCTCGGTTTCTGTTTTTCAGGGTAGACTGCATTTGTACATGGAGGTTCTACAACAGTGGCTAGATCAATCCACCCATGACCTGCATAACTCTTTTTTAATTTAGGCTACCAAATCACCTGAATGAACAGGGAACGAAAACCTCCAGCAAAAAGGCCAGATGCGGCTTGCGGTGATTTCTGCATCCTGTCTGAGAGCATTTTCTGCTATTAACTGTGATCTGCTGTCAGAGATAAGAAGGTATTTAATAGTATTTCAGCCTCAAATACCCTGCATAAGACTCAGCTGCGCTTTGCGGGCATGAGAGCTCTTGCACAGGAACTCGGTTCTAAGGAGACATGCTTAAAATTAAAGTTTGCTTCTTGTGTGCAGTGCAACAGTGGTCCCAATCTTGCTACTTAACATAGGAAACTGCACTAACGTAGGCCCTTTGAATCAATGGGGATTTTTATGGGCCAACTATTCGGTAAATTCCATCAATTCAAATTGGCTTACTCTCTACTACTTACTATGCTAAAGTTGCAGTTAAAGTAGGTCTGTTTCAATCAACAAGAACTTACAAAGGTATTAACTCACAAATTACCCATTGATTCAGTGGGACTACTCCAGTGCCGTTTACTACACTGAGCAAAAGGATTTTGGCCAGGTAAGAAGTACAATTGGCTCAGCCCCCTTGTCCTAGCTCCACTTACTCTGTCCTTGACACAGCCCCTCCCATTGGCACCATCCCTTCCTGGAGCCCCATCCACTTCTAGAATGGGGTCCCTGAGACCGTTCCCAAAGCAACATTGAGTCTACTGGTGGATAAAGTTTCTCAACCCGCAGCCTTGAAGTGTTGAACCTTTGGCATTCCAGATGTTTTGGACTACAACTCCCAGAATCCCCAACCTCAAAAAACACACCTGGAGTATCTATGATTCACTACGCTTGCTCTTGAGTGTAACACCTTCAAAACATGCAAAACATGTTTTTCTTCTGCTTGTTTCAATCGATTTCTTCTAGTCCCCGGGATTATGGCTCCAGGTTCTGCAGATATGGCTAACAGGGGTTGGGGATTAGCACCTAGATTCCTTCCCCCAAAAGTGGCAAAAATCCCATTCCATCCCATCCACACAGTCACAGCTAATTGTTCGACTAGGTTAGACACATTTTTGGGTTTTGCTAGAATAATAGAGATGAGCACGAACTGAACTATGATCATCAACAGCAAAAACCGCACCACAAATAAGGCTGGTTCGTGGTTCGGTTCTGCTTTCTTCATGCTTCAAATTGGAATTTCCTTTGATTAAAAAGGATAATTGGTTTCTTATTAATGTTTCCATGTAATTAAACCTGTGCCAAGGTTACCATACATGGCCTTCTCTCCATTTTTATCCCGACAATGATTCTATCAGAGAGGCTGGTCTGATTATTGTCATGGCTACACAGAGAATTTCACAAGTTAAGTGAGAGTTTGCACCTGACAATCAATTAGATTTATCCCATTTTTTTTTTTTGAGAAGTGCTCCCTGCAGTGGTAAAAGACTTCTGTTTGCCGTACCATATGATTTTGCTCACCTACAAATCTCGCATTTAGTGTGCTTTCTTTTGTGTTTGGTGAGTGGAAGGTAAACAGATGCTTTATTTGCAATTCTGATTGCCAAAACATGGGATTTTGAGGAAATCCCACTGTGGGAGGTAAAACAGGTTAATAGCAGAACATCCACAATCCTCTTAGCATCTTGCTTGACCCTGGATTTCTCCAGTCTTGGCTCTACTCTCTATTTACTACATTATACTAGTCTTTGCTTTGACATTCTAATACAAAGAGCTTTTGGCTTTGCAGAAATGAGAGTCGGACTGGGAATGCTCACCTACTTACTTAAACTTAGACGAATCAGAGTGATCCCTCACACAAGCAAGCACACAGACAGTTTCCATCAGCTGTACTTACAACATCTATAAGTTGTGCAATGGACAATCCAAAGCGCACAATGACCACATCAGATATATTGGCAACCGGCCGGGACCACTTGTTATATCCCGAGAAGAGTTTCTTCAGAAGACGCTCCTCTGCGTGGGCTCGGGTTTCTACATGGCTAAAGGCTGCCAGAAGGGAGGGGAAAAAAGCAGAAGAGTTATTTGAAAAGTGATAGTCATTGGAATTCAAAAATTATTCTCTGCATTTTACATTATCTTCCTTCCAAGTTGCTCCAGATGATGCACATGCCTGATTAGACTCAGAAGGAGAGACGGGCATTGAACCGTCAGTACAGTAGTTCATGCCAGTATGGATGGTGGCCAAACAGGTGTTCTGTGGTTCAGCACTCTGCCCCATCCAGTGGGCACCCACTCAGAGATAGTATCCAGAGGAGGTGGGGCAGAGGATCTAGGGTGCTGCCTTTGATTGGCCACCCAACAAAGGGGGTGGGGTGTCAAACTATGGAACACCTTTTGGGCCATCATCCAAACCAGCACAAACCACGAAACTGGTGATTCAGGACCATTTCTACTCAGAAGAATGTTGCAAAGTAGGCCAGGATTTCTGGGCATTGCCATCCAAGAACATCTGGAGACCCAAGACTGGATGGCCATCTGTTGGGAGTACTTTGATGGATGTTCCTGCATGGCAGGGGGTTGGACTAGATGGCTTCAGTGGTCTCTTTCAACTCTATGACTCTACGTTTGGGCACCACTGCCCTAAACTAAATCCAACAGTTCTTATTCTGCACATCAAAGGGACTTCCACATCATTCTGGAGGCAGCAGGCAAAAAGATCCAATTTTGCCTTGTTTTGATAGCTTTACAGATAGCAGCTCAGTGTTATTGAAACATAATGTGTTACGTAAAGAGTCAGCTTCTATTGTCAGGTCTATGAAGTCTCATTCATACATACAACCTGATGCTGTAGCTGTCAAATGATGTACAAGCCTGTGTTAACCAACTGTTAAGTCAACAACAGGAGATATAGGAGTTCCTTGTCTGAACATGTCCCTAGGATAATTTGTTTGCACATACAAAGCAATGATTTATCCCCACTCACTAACTCCGAAACCATCATGTACTGGTATGCATGGGTGGATCACATAATTGGGAGGGTTTTAAACAAAACATATAGGCTAGGGCCATGACTAAAAAAACTGGAAACATGTCCAAGGGCAGCTTTTCAGAAAAAGACCACAGTGCATCTGGTTATCCACTATGGTTTGCCTGCAGTTATTTGTTGATTTATGACGTTTTTATGTAGTGACAATCCACTATTCTGGGTGGTCGTACAGAAAAAAAATCAACCCTTTATTACCCTACCCTACCCTCAAGAAACAAATATGGAATAAGAGAAACCGAACTAATGACCAAAACACAAATTAATGACTAAATGATGGTGGCTATCTTCTAAGATAAAAGATCAAGCTGTGGGTCTAAGGAGAAGAATATCCTTAAAGCTTTCTTTAAACAATTTGGCTTTTACTACCTTCTTCAAAGTCGGGAGGGAAGCGGCCTGCCGAATCTCCAATCGGAGACCATTCCAGAGTGATGGGGACACCACCAAGGAGGCCCGATTCCTAGTGGAAACTCTTGTCTCTAACTCTCTTAGTGTTGCTATCCATTACAAAACCCTCGAGGCTGATCTCTCCCAGTTCTTCTGGTTCTATCACTATGCAGTGATTACGAAATAGACAAAGAACATGTAGCACAGTCCTTCTTGGACCGTACCATTTTGAACTGCATGGGGAGAGGTTTCATCTTTGAATGGTTTGCGCACAAAACATTTCTGCCCCAAAGATGCCCATCTCTAATCTGTACATGAAGACTCAAAGATACATACTAATGGTTTGAGACTTAGGCTGGTGTCCTGAGACCTGCTGAGAGGCAACCCTACTCCCTTGCAGACTTTCCCCAGCCACAGGGGAAGGTGGAAAGAATTATTGGGACGAGGCAGCCTGAGGAGGGGGCTCATTGGCTCAATATTCTCTTTCAAGCATGGCCTGGATGGATTAATCCGTCACACGGGATCATGTCCGCAACAACACCTCAGTGGTGGAATGTCCTGCCTTCTCCAAAGGATGTCAGCTTCTCTCTGTCCAGCTTCAGATAGCATCCTGTTGTACCTTGGAGCGGCTTTTAAATTGGTTTTTAATCTATTTTAAAAAGAATGTTTCAAAACACACATTGTAGTGCAAGTTGCTTACAAGAGCCCGGGAAGGCAGAACAGCAATGGACAAATATTTAAAAGCAGGTCTGAGGAAGTGGATTTGTCCATGAAAGTATATAGCAGTTCATCTTTAAGGTGGCGCAATGTTTTTGTCTTCTTTTTATTTTTACTTTCATTTTTGCCTGACATGTTAAAAACCTGTTTTATAAAATGGTTGGGAGTTTCCCCAGAGGCCATAGCTGGCTTGCTGAAAAATTTCAAATTCTGAGCAGGCTCATGGATGAAGAGGGTGGCCTTTCAGATAGTTTTCGCCCATCCTGTTCTGGGCTTTGTAGTTCAACACTGGCCCCTTGAAATGGCTAGGCTGTTTGTCCTCGGTTTCTGTTTTTCAGGGTAGACTGCATTTGTACATGGAGGTTCTACAACAGTGGCTAGATCAATCCACCCATGACCTGCATAACTCTTTTTTAATTTAGGCTACCAAATCACCTGAATGAACAGGGAACGAAAACCTCCAGCAAAAAGGCCAGATGCGGCTTGCGGTGATTTCTGCATCCTGTCTGAGAGCATTTTCTGCTATTAACTGTGATCTGCTGTCAGAGATAAGAAGGTATTTAATAGTATTTCAGCCTCAAATACCCTGCATAAGACTCAGCTGCGCTTTGCGGGCATGAGAGCTCTTGCACAGGAACTCGGTTCTAAGGAGACATGCTTAAAATTAAAGTTTGCTTCTTGTGTGCAGTGCAACAGTGGTCCCAATCCTGCTACTTAACATAGGAAACTGCACTAACGTAGGCCCTTTGAATCAATGGGGATTTTATGGGTCAACTATTCTGTAAATTTCATCAATTCAAATTGGCTTACTCTCTACTACTTACTATGCTAAAGTTGCAGTTAAAGTAGGTCTGTTTCAATCAACAGAATTTACAAAGGTATTAACTCACAAATTCCCCATTGATTCAGTGGGATGACTCCAATGCCGTTTACTACACTGAGCAAAAGGATTTTGGCCAGGTAAGAAGTACAATTGGCTCAGCCCCCTTGTCCTAGCTCCACTTACTCTGTCCTTGACACAGCCCCTCCCATTGGCACCATCCCTTCCTGGAGCCCCATCCACTTCTAGAATGGGGTCCCTGAGACCGTTCCCAAAGCAACATTGAGTCTACTGGTGGATAAAGTTTCTCAACCCGCAGCCTTGAAGTGTTGAACCTTTGGCATTCCAGATGTTTTGGACTACAACTCCCAGAATCCCCAACCTCAAAAAACACACCTGGAGTATCTATGATTCACTACGCTTGCTCTTGAGTGTAACACCTTCAAAACATGCAAAACATGTTTTTCTTCTGCTTGTTTCAATCGATTTCTTCTAGTCCCCGGGATTATGGCTCCAGGTTCTGCAGATATGGCTAACAGGGGTTGGGGATTAGCACCTAGATTCCTTCCCCAAAAAGTGGCAAAAATCCCATTCCATCTCATCCACACAGTCACAGCTAATTGTTCGACTGGGTTAAGGTTAGACACATTTTTGGGTTTTGCTAGAATAATAGAGATGAGCACGAACTGAACTATGATCATCAACAGCAAAAACCGCACCACAAATAAGGCTGGTTCGTGGTTCGGTTCTGCTTTCTTCATGCTTCAAATTGGAATTTCCTTTGATTAAAAAGGATAATTGGTTTCTTATTAATGTTTCCATGTAATTAAACCTGTGCCAAGGTTACCATACATGGCCTTCTCTCCATTTTTATCCCGACAATGATTCTATCAGAGAGGCTGGTCTGATTATTGTCATGGCTACACAGAGAATTTCACAAGTTAAGTGAGAGTTTGCACCTGACAATCAATTAGATTTATCCCATTTTTTTTTTTTGAGAAGTGCTCCCTGCAGTGGTAAAAGACTTCTGTTTGCCGTACCATATGATTTTGCTCACCTACAAATCTCGCATTTAGTGTGCTTTCTTTTGTGTTTGGTGAGTGGAAGGTAAACAGATGCTTTATTTGCAATTCTGATTGCCAAAACATGGGATTTTGAGGAAATCCCACTGTGGGAGGTAAAACAGGTTAATAGCAGAACATCCACAATCCTCTTAGCATCTTGCTTGACCCTGGATTTCTCCAGTCTTGGCTCTACTCTCTATTTACTACATTATACTAGTCTTTGTTTTGACATTCTAATACAAAGAGCTTTTGGCTTTGTGGTGCAGAAATGAGAGTCGGACTGGGAATGCTCACCTACTTACTTAAACTTAGACGAATCAGAGTGATCCCTCACACAAGCAAGCACACAGACAGTTTCCATCAGCTGTACTTACAACATCTATAAGTTGTGCAATGGACAATCCAAAGCGCACAATGACCACATCAGATATATTGGCAACCGGCCGGGACCACTTGTTATATCCCGAGAAGAGTTTCTTCAGAAGACGCTCCTCTGCGTGGGCTCGGGTTTCTACATGGCTAAAGGCTGCCAGAAGGGAGGGGAAAAAAGCAGAAGAGTTATTTGAAAAGTGATAGTCATTGGAATTCAAAAATTATTCTCTGCATTTTACATTATCTTCCTTCCAAGTTGCTCCAGATGATGCACATGCCTGATTAGACTCAGAAGGAGAGACAGGCATTGAACCATCAGTACAGTAGTTCATGCCAGTATGGATGGTGGCCAAACAGGTGTTCTGTGGTTCAGCACTCTGCCCCATCCAGTGGGCACCCACTCAGAGATAGTATCCAGAGGAGGTGGGGCAGAGGATCTAGGGTGCTGCCTTTGATTGGCCACCCAACAAAGGGGGTGGGGTGTCAAACTATGGAACACCTTTTGGGCCATCATCCAAACCAGCACAAACCACGAAACTGGTGATTCAGGACCATTTCTACTCAGAAGAATGTTGCAAAGTAGGCCAGGATTTCTGGGCATTGCCATCCAAGAACATCTGGAGACCCAAGACTGGATGGCCATCTGTTGGGAGTACTTTGATGGATGTTCCTGCATGGCAGGGGGTTGGACTAGATGGCTTCAG